GATCACCCATCTTCCATGCTGATACCTTGAGGTTGGCTACACCCATGCATGTTTCAGTTCCATTTCACTTTATTTCCCTTGGATTATTTGTATATATGTTTTTATTTATTATTATTATTTTTCTTTTAATCCTTACCTGAGAATATGTTTTTATTGATGTTTTTAGAGAGAAAAGAGGAATGGGGGGGGGGAAGGGGAGAGAGAGAGAGAGAGAGAGAGAGAGAGAGAGAGAGAGAGAGAGAGAGGAAGAGAGAGACATTGATTTATTGTTCCAGTTATCTGTGTATTCATTGGTTGGTTCTTATAAGTGTGCTGGGGATTGAACCTGGAACCTTGGCACATTAGATGATGTTCCAAGTCCAACCAATTGAGCTACCTGTCTAGGGCTAAATCTTGTACTTTCTTTAAGATGGTTGTCATGCTAACTTGTGTGAGTAGTGAACTGAACAATCTATGTGTGCCAATCAAACTGAGGACATGCATATGTATTACCAGCATTTTCTGAAATGAAGCAGTGAAGTTCTAACACAATTAGTGTATTAGATGATCTCCACTAGATGCAAGTAGAGTGTCTGAAGGGAGAGATACCATTTTCTAATATGCATAGAGATATGACCTGGACTTGTGATAGGCAGCACCCCCCTCCACCCCCCCCCCACACATATACTCACATTTTATCTTCAATGCAACCTATGGTCAACAAAGAATGTGCATAGAATGTGTGATTTTAATAACAAATACAGTACAGATGCAGTTTATGGAAACTTAAATTATGCAAACTTAAAGTTGCTGATATAGAAAAATTTTACAAAGTTTTGCTGCATAAAACTCTCTGAAAAACTTCAAAAAACTGCACATTCCAAAACTGGCTGGCCCAGTGGGTTGCAAACCATGTTCATGGATTGGCACACAGAGGTGCCACATTGTACAGCATGATGTGAAGCACATGCTCACCAGTGTGTACTGGATGGAGCCTTCACCTGCATCTTCAGTGACCATTGTGCTATTGTGTGTACTATGAGCCCTTAGCTCAGAAGTTACACATAAAAAAAAGCTCTCTAAACCCTAACCACTGTCTTTAGTCATTTGCCATCTGCTGATTTGGGAAATAGCCCACTCTACCCAGCACTGGAGAGGATGCTATGAAAATTAAATGTCGACTTAACACCCCCTGCAAACCCCTTGCCCCCTACACACACACACACATAGAGTAACAGGATCTCTATGCTAACATTATTCCTCTGTGATATCGGTCTTAAATGATATGTATTTTAAATTATACGGTGCGCTCAGGAGAGCACCTCTCACACAAAATGCGGCTTCCCTTTAAAAATTCTTCATGTCTTGAAGTGACTCTAACTCCAATTCTAAGCCTGAAAGACAATGTGTAAAAACTGGAAGGAGCCCTGAAGTTTTCAATTTAGTGTCACATTTAGTGGTCCACATGGGGACAGAATTCTCTGCTAAGCATCCCAGAGTCAGATCTGTTTCCGGATATATATTTTTTTCTTCTCCATCCTTTCTAGTGGATGGTAAGAGGCATCAGTGTGTAGAATGCTGCTTTGGTTACTTTTACTGCAGGCACCAACAGGGCTTGAGTTTGTTGCTAAGTCACCTTCACCCATTTGAGTGAACAAGCATAATTACTTTCATTATGCTTGTTCACTCAATTAAAACAGAGGGCCAAGCATTTTTATTGCCCCCTCCCTGAATAATTAGAGGATTAATGAGCTAGTAAGCTCATAATACTTTCAACCTCACGAGGAAATTAGCCTACAGTCACGGAGCAGGGCATGCCCTGTGTGTAGTCTATGTGGATTGCCATTAGCAGACAAACAGAACTGCCCTCCCTCCCCCCCTCCCCCCAGTCTGAAGCAGGTGCTTCTGACTTCCCCCAGTCCTTGGTCCTGGGCCATCCACCAATGGGCTGTGCACATGCTCAGTACCTGCGAAGCAGGGGCATTGACATTTCTAAATTTTGACTTTTAGTGTTTATCAAACGTACCCAAGTGCCGACTGTGAGGGAGATTGGGGCTTTGATGGAGGCGCACATTTAGTGTTGTTCTTATTTGGAATTACTACCCGAATGGGGGCAGAGAGGCGCCATGATCGTTCCAGTGCTTAGAGCTTCTAAAGGTTTTATTAGGGCTTCAAGTCTACCACCCACTTTTAAAACAATTCCCCCAATAAATATCACCAGTTTACCCCCCAAACCCCGTCTTTCCTAGCAGGCAGCCTTCACAATGGACTTAACCCTCCTCTAATTCGGACTTAACAGAACACCTTGCACAGTGCTACAAAATGGAAGAAAATTAAAGCTTTGTTTGGCTAGGGAATAGCCCAGGCTTTGAGTCAAGACTGACCTGAGCCCAGCCGGTGAGGCTCAGTGGTTGAGCATCGACCTATGAACCAGGAGGTCACGGTTCGATTCCCAGTCAGGGTATATGCCCGGGCTGCAGGTTTGATTCCCCATGTGGCGCATGCAGGAGGCAGCTGATCAATGATTCTCTCTCATCATTGATGTTTCTCTCTCTCCCTCTCTTTTCCTCTCTTAAGTCAATAAAAATATTTTTAAAAAAGAACTGGTCTGAAAGGTTTAAGTCAAATTTTTAAAACCATCTGATCAATGACTTGCAGATAAGCTTGGGGTCCTAGAATTTGAGAAGAAACCTTCTTTTTCTATTTTCTTTCCCATGAGAGGGGTTTGCTGTGTTCTTGGTGAGCCCTGTGACCACTGCCATTTGTCATTTCCAAACATACCCGACTTCTCGATTCTTGCACCTTCTGAGACATGTGTGTACATAGAAACAAAAACTACATATTTCCATGAGTTTTCACACGTGGATCCCCTCCTGACACCATTCTGAATATGACACTCTGTTGCAGGGCACTAAAAATGGCATTTTCCTTAAAATAAAACCTTTAAAGATCCCTTAGTAGCTATTTGGGGACTGAAATTCAATTTCAATTCCCCACCCTTTGGCCAGCTGTAGACTCAAAATACTTACACAAAAGCAAAAAGGGTATGTACTTCATAGCAAATGTGATTTGTCCTCTGCAATAAAATATGTGCTACAGTTACCACAAACAATATTTTCCTTAGAAAATATACAAAGCAACCCTGCCTGGTGGGGCTCAGTAGGTTAGGTGTCGTCCTGTGCATTGAGGGGTCAATTGTTCGAATCCCGGTCAGGGCACATACCCAGGTTATGGGTTTGATTCTCAGTTGGGGAACATGCAGGAGGCAACCAACCAATGTTTCTCTCTCACATCCATGTTTCTCTCCCTCTCTCATGAAAATCTATAAAAACATAAAAAAAGAAAATACACAAAGCAATAATGCACCTCAAAAAGGGAGAAGAGATTCTTTCTTAAATTTTATTTCATAGATAGCTTTGATATAAGCTTCAGATAGACCCACATACTACACAGAGTTTGTGAAATCTATACCTTCAAATCATAACACTCTCTATTTTAGGCCATTATATCTAAAAGCATGACAAATCCTTTTATTCAAATACTTTATTACAAGTAGTTCTTGCACACAAATGTTACATCACAATAGCAAAAAAAAAAAATGTAAACTTCTTTTGCAAACTACATAAATACTATATATCTGCCTTGAAGTTACTGTTACCTTAAAATCAGAATATACTCTAAATGCTTTACACAGAAAACTCTGGTCAGTAGCTTATGTGTATGAAACAGTTTCTTTTTTCTTACTGACTTGCTTTTCGTGTTGTCTACGTAAGTGAGGTCTTTGAAGAAGAAACATTTTAAATAGGACCCACATCAAAATTCAGTCACAAGTAAGACAAGAACCAGATGCATGTCCATCACCGTGGGCAAAATATGAGATGTGAAAATTATTCCACCTGCTAACTCTGACAAGCCACCAACGGTATGGAGGTAGCTGAAAATGAGGACTTGAGTCAATCTCCTATCTGATCCCACATGGAAAGACTACAGCCCGCTTGCTAATATACCTTCAGCCTGTTTCAAATGACTCACCTCCTTCTCTTTTCTTTGAGAACAAACCCAACAGGTCATTTCTTCTAGACTGGGAAGTCTAGGTGGCCAGTGAACTTATATCATCATCACTGTTCTTGATGTCTTTAAATACAAATTTGAAATGTATGAATATACAGATGCAATTACATACTCATGCATAATTAAAGGACCACAACGGGATTTCTTTATTCCTTCCTTCCTTCCTTCCTTCCTTCCTTCCTTCCTTCTTTCTTTCTTTCTTTCTTTCTTTCTTTCTTTCTTTCTTTCTTTCTTTCTTTCTTTCTTTTCTTTTCTTTTCTTTTCTTTTCTTTTCTTTTCTTTTCTTTTCTTTTCTTTTCTTTCTTTTTTTTCTTCAAGAGAAGTTTTTAATGTTGATCTTTTTTGTTATTAACTTTACAGTCAATCCCTTTCCTCAGAATGTTCTTTAAGTTAAAAATCAAGTTTCATCCGAAGCCCTTACCATTGTGTTATTCTAAGATTCCTACTGAATACCTAGCTACTGGCCATGGTTTCTTTGAACAAAAAGAATGTCACTGCTGAAGCATTTTTAAAAACGGCGAATGCATGCACAAAGAACTACCTAGGCTTTCCAAGCAGCTACACAAACTGGCTCAAGTAATGGTATTATTTATTGTGGCCCAAGCCCTTTACCAACATCTTTTACACACAAGGAGAATGGCTACCAGGTGATGGCAGAGCCCAAAATGCGAGTCCAGGCCAGCAGGGCTCAGGGCGGCTTATAGGACGGCAAGCAGGAATCCACCGTGTGATTCCCCCTCTTTCTGAGCATTTTCTCTAAATGCATGGTGTCCTCCTTTTACTGCCCAGGCTTTTAAACTACGTAAAACAATTCCTCTTTTTTTTTTTTAAATCTAGCAATGATTAGTTGAGACCTCAAATAACACTGTACACGGGCTTTGTTAGAGACAGGCAACCATGCTCAGCAGCTCTCCGCCCAGTGCAGGCTGGGAGGGAGGAGGGCACCGGATTTAGGAGCTGCTCTTGTTGCAGACGGTGCTCTGGCTGATACCATCTTCCATGTACTGGCTGCCCGTGTCGCTCCTGCTGAGGACCGTGGAGGTGATGCGGGAGGGCCGCCTCTCCGGGTTCTTCTCCTGAGAGAAGCAGCAGATCATCTTCTTCATGGTGTTGTACATGTCTTCGTCCTTGTAGGAGTAGATGACGGGGTTCATGAGGGAGTTGAGCAAGGCCAGCAGCAGGAACCACCGCTTCACGTGCTGCAGGCCGCACTCCTTGCAGTTCAGGCCATCCAGCAGCAGCACCACCAGGCCCGGGGTCCAGCACACCACGAAGGCCCCTGGAGGGAGAGAGAAGCAAGCAACAGGCACTCAGACCTCAGGCTGCCTCGGTGGGGTCTTCTGGCTCGGCCTCCTGTTAGCGGTCAAGGGACCTTAGGAGCCTGTTTTGACAACTGCCATGCAAATGCCCACCTCTCACCTGAGCACGTGAGACTGGGCTTGTGAGAGGCAAACAGCTGAGAACCCTCTGACTATTCCACGTTCTATTACACCTTCTTACCTGCTTATTCAGGTCTGGCCATTGGGGCTTACACCTGCCCCCTGCTTACTCAGCGCTACACACATAATGTATCTGTTCGTTCTCAGCCCTCACGAGGAGGACGCTGCAGTCATGGAAGCACATTGTGCCAGTGAGAAAACAAGAAAATGGAGGCCCAGATCGAGGGTCATCTGCAGGAAGGCCTCACTCATCCAAATACTCTGCTCTTCTCTAAACCAGAATTTCTAAACGTTTCCCTGAAAAATAAGGACTCGGTGCATCTATGGCAGTCTCCTAAAAGTTTTATTATTTAAGAATCCATGTCGGTGCTTCGTAAGCACTCACATATTCACAGGCCATCTGCTTAAAATCTGGTTTAGACTAAGATTTTTTTTCTTCTGAGTCAGAAATAAATTTCTTTCATGATGAAACAGAGTTGTGCTTTTTAGCACATTTATTTATTTAGCACAATTTTAGCACCGATGGCACATGAAAGGCAGTCTCTGTGAGTCTCTCGCCATCTGATTATACTTAGTTTACCTCTAAACATTCTGGCATGTTTTTCATAAAACCCGAGACAGAGGTCCAACAGTCCCGTGCTTTGTCATCATAACCTCAGTGCTCATACAGTACTTCCTATCAGCCAGGCGCAGATATAAGTGCTTTCCTTTAGTAACTCATAGAGCCACACTATGGCGTAGGCACCATTAGACCATTAGCATCCCCAGGAAACTGTGGCACCAGAGAAGTAGCTTGCTCATCATCAAATAGCTTGTAAGGGACATCTAATTTTGAACCCAGTCAGTCTTTCACCATAGGGTGTGCTCCCAGCTACTGTGTGACCTGCCTAAATACCCTTGCTTATGTATTCCATAAATATTCACCGTGAGACTACAATGTGCCCATGAGCTCCGGGAGCTAACGGGTTAACAGGGGAGAGAATAAACAAGCAAGTCTACAAACATATCACTAACTAGTTTCTCTTTTTGGTTAAAATGCATCCTGGACAACATTCCTATTGTTGCTTTGTCTTTCAGAGAGGAATAGTAATAAGCAAGTCAAGTCAAGAATTCTAAAGAGGCAGTGTGAGGCCATGAAACTCCATGAGCTTTGGGGTCAGACAGCTATGCCCGGGTCCTCACTGTATGAGCTACATGACGGAGGCACATCATTTATCGGAGCCATCATTCCCTGGCTGATAAAATCCTATCTAATAAAGAGGGAATATGCTAGTTGACCCTCACACCATTGCAAAGATAGCGACACCCACAGCCAATAAGGAGGGAACATGCTAATTGCTCCCCACCCTCAAAGATGGCAGTGCCCACAGCCAATAAGGAGGAAATATGCTAATTGACTACCCCGCCCTCAAAGATGGCGGCACCCACAGTCACAAGATGGCGACGCCCAGTCCCCTCAGCCCTGCCCGGGCAGCAGGTAGCTGGCAAGGCTGGGCCCACCTTGGATGGCGGCTGCCCAGCCACCCATGGCTGCTTGAGGCTCAGGTAACCAGGGCTGGCCGAGGCTTGTGCTACAGGCAGTGGCAGCAGCAGAGGTGTGATGGAGCATCACTTTCCCCTGATAGCTGGGTTGTGTCCCACCCTTGAGGGCTCTCGGATTGTGAGAGGGGAAAAGCCAGGCTGAGGAACCCCACCTCCAGTGCACGAATTTTCATGCACCAGGCCTCTAGAAAGGATAATATCAATTGTGCAGGGTGGATGTGAAGGTCAGAGGTAACAGAAAGTGGTCCCACCAATGAGTTGGGTTCAGCAAGCAGTGGTTACCCTGCAATGCCTAATGTAGATGTATAGGAGGCATCAGAAGACTTAATTTCCCATGTCATAATTAGAACTCACCAACAGCTTCTATTTTCTCCATCCTGTATGACTTTTGGACTGGCTGACATATATGAATGAAGAAGTAGACTCAGAGAAAATAGGAGTTCAGATGTTTGGATCCCAACTCTTCACTTACTGTACAACTTGAGGAGACGCAGGTCATAAGTCGGGGCTTTGGCTTCCTACACTGTGAAATTGGGACTTCAGGCTAGTTCCGGGTTTTTTACATTGTTTAAGGATTGTACACCCTTAGTGGGTGTGCAATTAATTTTAAGGGTTTGGGCAGGTCTTTGTTTGTTTTTTAATGAAAGGAAGGAGTGTAATGGAAAGGCTCATATTGTACTACATACTAGTAGACTATATGAAGTACTCTTTCATGAAACTTCTGTTTCGATTTTACAAACTGTATTTATGTGTGTATTGGGTATTAAGTAAAACATTATTTCTTACTGTTGGACTAAGTAAAAAGTTTTAAATATGCTAGTTTAGGTAATATTTAAGGCTCCAATCAACTACCAATATGATGTCTAACAGTGCATCCATATGTGTTAAAAAGCAAGATAATTGACACAAAATTTACCATCTGGTTACTTCTGCAGGAGACAGAGGCCACTGGGAGGGGGCACATAGCAGGCTCTAGAGATATTGGTGATGTTTTATGAAATTGGGTGGCAAGGACACAGGTATTTAAACATTTTTTTATTTAAACTGTAGCTATATCTTCTATAATTTTGTTTGATATATTTCATATACATATACACATTTTAAAAAAAGATTAAACTGTCAATATGCTTTCTTAAAAACTGTTTTATTAAGTGGGATTTTTTAAAAAATCATAAAAGCTTTTTTTCCCCCCTTTGGCATGAAACTCTAGTAGTTGGGATTAGTCAGAGAACTGAAAGGCTCTAAATAAATTTCCAAATCTATGCTCTGTTTGTTATATGTGGTGATTCAAACAAATTTTCCCTTTGTGTCGAATTACATAATTCATTCAATCAACACCAGACAAACTTTTCATTGAGCAATGATTTTATGCCAGGCACTGACACGAGCATTTTATATAAATTAACCATTAAACCTTCATAGCGACCCTTAGAAATAGATACTAAAGCTATCCTCATTTTAAACCCAAGGAAACAGAAGCACAGAGAAGTGAGGTAGTATGCTCAAAGCCACACAGCTGATAAGAGGAAGAGCCAGGACTTGAACCCACGCACCTGGCACCAGAGCCTGTGCTCCTGTCCACATGCTCAGCTGCTCCTGCTTGGCAGGGGCCTAAAGGATCTTATTGCTGAAGTGAGTGATGGAAGAGGGGGGAGGGGATGCTACTACTGGCCTTTAAAGTTCCCTTAACAGTGTGACATATCTGACTATGAGGCTGCATATTTCACAATTAAGTCATTCTCTGGTTTGCTAACAGAAAGATTTTCTGGTCAGGGAAGGAAGGAAGGAGGGAGATGGGAAGGGGAAGGAGAAGGAAAAGGGGAAAGGGAAGGGAGGGGAAAAGGAAGGAAAGAGGAGGAAGAAAGGAAAGAAGAATTCCAACAAAAATATAAACTGATCTTGGGAGTAAGAAGAGAAACACAAATCCTTTCCTTTATGCTGTTTCCAAGAGTAACAAGAGGCAAGTCTTTACAGAACAGCCCCAACATGCTAACTGCTAAGCTAGAGAGAGGGCGCTTCAGTGCTGTTGCCTGAGCTGATGGTTACTCTCGGGCAGTGACTCTGGGAAGCACCACTTGGCACCATGATTTCACCCGGCACATCCCAGAGCAGGTGCACGGTTTATCTAACAGCTCGTTCTTCTGGGCTTTTACTGTAGTCAGCAGCTAGACAGGAGGCTGCCCACAGAACTTCAAAAGAGAACATGTCAGGAATGGGTTAGCCTTGGAAAGTATAATCTTGGAGGATTCTTGGAGAATGTGTGAGATGTCAGAAATATACCAATGGGCCATTTCTTTCTTTCCTTTTTATTTATTGATTGATTGATTGAGAGAGAGAGAGAGAGAGAGAGAGAGAGAGGAGATTTGTTGCTCCACTTATTTATGCATTCATGGTTGTATGTGCTCCGACTAGAGAATGAACTCACAACCTTGGTGTGTCAGGATGATGCTCTAACCAACTGAGTCACCAGGCCAGGGCTATTTCTTAAAAGAGCAGCAGATGATGAGTCCTGGGAAGTATATTTCTGTCAGTACCCCCTTAATTTCCAATAAATTTGGGAAGAAAAAGCTAATATATTTTGTTTTCTTAAGTAGACGCAAAGCTCAGACCATGACAACTGGGAACAAATAGTTTTCCAAGAGAGCATGCCAGGCTCAGGTCACATGTTTTAAAAAAATCGGGCATTAACAAATAGGAGTGGAAATCAGGTATGTTTCTCTTGGAGAGGAAAAGGCTAAGGAAAGATGGGATGTGTTGTTACTGTAACTGTCTCCAAAACCCAAAGGGCCATCGCAGAGGAAGTGGCAGTGAAGACTTGTCCTGGTCCGGAAGGCCACCTGCAAGAGATGGAGCAGCACCGAGAGGCAGCCTTTGGGTACACAAAGCTGTGTAGGAGGGAACTGGCGGCTCAGAGGCCAGACAGCCCCCCTGAGCAGAGTGCTTCCTTGCCTGGATTATCCTGAGAAGTTCAAAGGGAAGCGATTTTTCCTAAATGAGAGGAAGTGGCTTCTGAACTCTTTTCCATGTAGAGAATTGATAAATTCTGTAAAACTATGTGTTTCCACTTCCCATAAAATTCAAACATACGTGACTTGTTTCCTAAACATATTATAAGACTGCATGGCTAGCCACTGATTAAGGTGAATTCTCTGAGCTGGCAGTTCTCAAACCTGGCTTCCCATCAAAACTACGAGGGAGCTTTTTAATCACGCAGGTTCCCTGGTTCCAATCAGACCCCAAAGTCGCAGGTGCTGGGTGGTGCAAAGAAATTTGTAGGACTCAGAAGTTCCCTGGGTGA